CACTTCCCTCCAGAAAAATCTAGTGATGAAACAGCTGTTGGTTTATTATCGCAAGAATAATTTATCGTTAGTTGTGCCAGTTGTGATATTCATTAACATTCTCTGGTTATTGTTTTGTTTACTAAGCGCTCCAATCAGTTGTAGATTCTTTGATTAAATTTTGCCAATTTGCCGGTTGCGCTTATCGATAGTTGACCATGAATGTATATCGTTCCAGCGAGCGATAAAATATTTGTCGATTCCTAGCGCTTTGAAAACTGTTCTTAGTCGATTTAATTTAAAACGAGCAGTTTTATATTAAATTTAGAAATAAAAAATTCAAAAAATTTCCTGCTCTCCCATGCCAGAGTACTTTGTGATAATTTTCAAAAGATCTTACAACAATAAAAATGTTCAGTTCTCACTTCACAAGAAAGATTATGGACAGCATTGAGCTTGCTGAAGGGGTTATATCCAGTTGCAAATCAGAAAAAACAAAATTGTTAGCAAAATCTTATTCCTTTGATCATCACCAGCTAAATCTGTATCTGAGAAGATCGTGTAAAAAATTCAAGTTGATGCCGTTTCGGCAATATTTTCCTCACCGACCCTCAAAGCAGCGTTTCTAGAAAAAAGAGGCTAAAGTTTTGGGAGCCGATTGTAGTATGTTAAAAAATTCAACTGGTCGCAGATCTCTTGGATTGTAATTAGATTTTACTATTCTCTAATATAACTTTACTCCTCTACTGATATCTCTATTACCAAATATTAAGCGATAATGATCTCTGGAAAGAGTTGACACCAGAATCGATTGGTATAGCAAGTGAAATTAATTGATAAAGTCAGCGAGACGTTATTTTTTAATGCTTGGAATTATTCGTCTAACCAGTCTATCTTAGGTGAAATTTACAGTTGCGAAGACGTAACGATTTATAAATCTTCGGAGTAGAACAACTTCAAATTTTTTAAATTGATATTTAATCAATTGTATACTTCCTAATCCCAAAACCACAATATATTTAGGTTCAGTAAGGTCTTTCGTTGACGGTGAGGCTTATTTACGATATTGTCACTTTGCCGCTGTTTCCACGGTACTCGATCGACACCCTTAACCCCGTTAGTGGGGTAAAGGTATGATTATTTAAGGTTAAGGTTCGGGTTCCATAACCCGGACTTTCATCATTATTGCAGGAATTTGGACTGTAGGTACAATTTTCCGGCATAATTGTCTACCAGTACCCTTCGCAGTTACATTTCTCGCCCAATTTTTAATCTGACATGTGAGCCAGTATTGGTCCGAGTCGTTATCTAATTATCGAATTTCAAAAGTTTCTAGACATATTAAAGCATACATAACTAGTAATGTAGCATGGCTTAAGTAAATACATGGGAACATAGACTTCTACAATTTGAAAAAATGATATGCGACGAAAATAAAATTGTCGAACTAAATTCATTTTAGGAAATGAAGACCCCAACGCTCTTGCCAAGAGTGCAGTCAAGAGCAGTTTTATTTGGATCCCCTTCACCTAAGGAAAACTTATGAAAGCAAACATTATTCATTTGTAGGTCCAGTAGAATCGTTGTGAATAACTTATCTTTAAAAAGAAAAATCAATAATATTAAACAACACCTTCTTTGGTTCTTTATTTCCATTTTGTATTGCACAATTTTAGAAAACCTTTCAAAAATTCTTCTAACTGAAAATTATTTTCGGAAATTCTTTGAACTTACATAAAAAAATCTAAATTGCTCTTTAGTCTTTAAAATTTTTTCTAAATAATTTTTAGCGCTAAATTAAGTACAATATCCGCTCGTGCTGCCAACTTAAAACCAATCAGAGGTCCATTGCAGCCCATAAACATCAAAGACGCATTAAAGCAAAACGTAAAAAGCAATAAAGAAAATCGAAGATGTCACGTAAACAACGTGTTGTTGTAGTAGTGGATGAGGATGTACGCGGAGGCGATCCTGAAGAGTTCCGCAACGTTTTGGATCTCTCCATGTCCATACCTTCACCCGCTCTCAAAAGTTTCAAGTCAGCCACTTATGCTAAATGGGCGACGCATGCGCACACACAACCGCTACGTTTCGATTGTGTGGGCACAACACGAAACGCATTCGTACGCGCCGAATATGCCATGCTCATGGACGAACTATTTCTAAATAAATCCAGTTGTTGCTTGCTGCAATTCTTTCCACTCCGCGAATGCCAAATATCATTTTTATGCAATTTGCTCGTCTCCGAGGTGGACAAGCGTATGATGGCCTTGCAGGCCAAGTTAATGAGAATCAAAGTGAGTTGATTTTGAAATCTATAAATATTAACAAAATGATGTGCCACCTCTCGCCACTCTGTCACAGGTCGAATATTTTGATGTACGCAAATATGATGTTGTTAATTTCCTCGGCTCCAGTCAACCACGCTCTACCACGAAGAACAAACGCCATTCGCGTCCGCAGAATTTATTTAGTAATACCTTGGAATTATTGCGTTGGCTGCAAACCCGTTACTTGCAGCTTTTCGCCAAAGGTCAAGGCACTGAAAACATGGACCTGGAGTTCACCTTCAGTGACGTACAGACTCGCGTCCACACCGTGCGCCTTTCTATTATGCACGTCTTTCTTTGTCACATGGATAGCGATACAAAGACTTGTCTGCGTAATTGTTTCGAGAATATACATAGCGCGAAGCGTGGTCGAAAGAGTATTATGCTTACCGATTGTCTGCGAGAAATATTGGGACCAAAAGAGAACTGGTTTACCTGGTTCGTCTTCCATGTGCCGATAGCGAAAGGTCGTGGTATAATCATTGATGACCAACTGAATTTAGCCAGCTCTGCGTACGCCGGTATCAATGCAAAAGACTCTTCAGATGTAAGTGAAACCTGTATGTATTTTACTATTTACAATATTTATGTTGAAATGCTCCAATTTGTAGATCAAAGCGTCGGATGATTTCGATTTAAGCAGCTTGCTCTCCTTCTTACACGTCTCGAGCGGTTCACAGCTGACGGTCAATTCCCAACTGGGCGCGTCCACATTAAGTATGGCACAAAATACTCCAACCTTTATTGCAGCTAATTCGTCACGCTCGATATCCAACAGATTAATGAACAAGAATAATCAAACCTATAATTTGAATACCTGGTATACGAAAATGGATCAGCTGGTGCCGGTGGTGCTCAAGCACATACACAGCTTGTACGAGTATAAGTATCGTGAAAATATACAAAATATTTGTATCGAACTCAAAAACATGTTAAGCTTTAGCTCGCTCCGTCCATCTAGCAGTAATTGTTATAAGAGTCGGCAAGCCGAGCGCTCGGAGTCATTGGACAAGCTCGAAAAGAATTATCTCATGATCATAAAAGAGTTTATTCGTTTGGCTAAAGAGATTGAGAATTCCCCTGATAGCGCGATCTTACGCGTGTATCTGGATGCCAAGAAGAAGGAAATCAAAGATTATGCTACGAATTGCAAATTGCGCCATCTGGAGATATGCCAGAACTCGCTAATCGAAACGATTAAAGGTGAAAGAAATCTGCTGACCAACACTGGTTCAAATATTAAGTTTATAAAATATCCATCATTTAAGGCTACCATTTCGGGTAATGCATAGCATGCGGAGTAGATATAACTGCAGTAATGGTACTCTGAAATTTGTGAGGCACCAAATGTAACTGTATTTTGGTAATACCTTTCTGTGCTCTTACCTCTATATTAGCAATGAGTGCAGATATTACTAAAGTACAGTTAAAATATGATATCTTATTGTAAAAAAATTGAAATCTATGGTTGGCTCGTGATGAGTAAAAGTTTGAAAAGTAAGAATAAAAAAAATGCAAAATCTGAATATCGCTCTTTAGGACAGTGTTGTAAGTATTACGGATTTTTGGGATATTCGAAACGATCTTATAGAAACTAAAAGCTTCGTCAGAGAGTGTCGCGGTTTAACAAGCTTCTAAAGTAAAGAAGCCCTTCTACCGATTTAACTTTATACTTTCACCCATTTTCGCTTTGTACTCATTCCCTACTTTGTTTGATAGCCTTAGAGGCTAGGCCAAGTTTATAGAACTTCGCAGCTGGAAATACCCTTTTTTGGCTGAAGTCTGTCTTCATTAACTAATTTGGAGTGAATTGTTTTTCTGCTGTGGGGAATATATATTATATGTATATAAATATCGTTAAATGAATTAATGTGAGAACGATCTCGACAATTAGCAACAAGGGATACGTTTTTTTCTATTTCACCCTTCAGACCTGTGTACTGAACATTTTTGAAGAAGAAGACAAATGTAGTCTGTTACAGCAGTTTTTTTTAAAAGAAAAACGAGTTTGTTGGTCGCTAAAGAAGACTATTTTCTCTGAGATTAACATCATTCACGACGAGATCGGAATCGTATAGGGTTAAACTAGTTCCGATTAATAACTGTAGACGATCGACAGATGAGAGCAATCCTAGGAGTACATAGCCTACAAAATAACAAGAAAAAAAGTTAACTTCGGTTGCATTGAAATACCCTTCACAAATAAAAATGTTTCCCCACAAGTACTTAATTTTGATCGGTCGGTTTGTATGGCCGCTTTAGTATGCTACAGTCGTCTGACCTGTACAATTTATTCGGACATTGGTTCCGGCAAATGAGCAGCTTTTTGTGGAAAAAAGAATGTGTGCAAAATGTCAGAGCGATATCTTAAAAACTAAGGGACTACAGGTAGTTCGCGTATACAGACAGATGGACCGTCATGGTTAAATGAACTCAGCTCGTCACGCTGATCATATATACGATATGATCTTCGCTGTTTCCTTTCGGGTGTTACAAACTTCGTGCCAAACTAAATATACCCTGTTCGGGGTATAAAAACGATAATTTTGGAAACATGGCAATGCTATAATTTTTTCCTTCTCAACAATAAGTTTTCTGGATATCTAGAAAGTAGGGCCCTTGACAGCAAAAACCTTCTCATTCGACTAAAATTTCAATTCTGAAAATTTCACCGTTCCCACGACAGTCGGGTCTACGTAACCGGAACGGACCCGGGTTTATTCCGGCCAAGAACTGTCAACTCGGCAGAATTCTGCCGCTACAACAACTACTACCACTACTTACTACCACTACTAAAAACAACTTAAATTTCAACTGTTTTTGCCGTAGCGACGAAGGAGATGTCAGCCTGTGCACTGGCATTGTCCAAAAACACTTCGACGTAGTAGAACCCTGTGATCGATTTACCCTTTTAGGGTAGCCGATGTAGATGACACCTTGTGAATTCCATAAAATGGTCGTTATTCCTTATTGGGCGGATAGGACAGTCTTCACCTTCTTCGAAGAAGATTCGCGGTAAAACGCCTCAAAATCTCCTTCGGATTGTGCTTAAATAGCGTCAAACACTGCTGTGAAGTGGTTTCACGGTAGAGCTTGTTGTCCCAACTGTGGCAAAGGCAGTAAGAACCCTACAAAATCGCATCGGCCCCGTATGAATTACCTTCTTGACTCAGAATGCAACTTCACGTGAGAGTAAGTAAAAGTTCTTTACTTAACTAAAGATGGTCTTTCTACTGAGTGTGATATCCATCTAGCAAAAATTGAAGTGCTTAAAGACTTCAGAATTAGTATTTGGTGGATCTGCATATTCGCCACAAATTCTTGCAGATGGTGTCTAAACTTTGTATATCATATTTATTAATTTTTTTTTTATATTCACATGCGTCCGCCTGTGTTTAAGAAATATTTAAAAATTTTGGCAGTGAAACTTCGACAAACTCAAATTGACAGTTTCTGTGTTTCTTAAAACCAAATAAAATTTAAACTGTTCAGAAAAAATACGACATTTTTTTTGGAGAAACAACCATTAAACATTTCGGCAAAAAAATTCTGGAAATAAAATAAAAACCAAGCAGAATTCATTAAAATCAATAGTTTTTATGATCGCAATTTTGTGCAACTAGCAAAAAACTCCATGGATAGAAAGACGTCTGTGGAATGGCTCGACGGCAACATAATGCCAAAATTCTCTCGGAAGCGTTTGCAAGCGGCGCGCAGCGATCTGCTTGGTCAGGGCGCCCGACATGATGAACAGTCAAAACAATCGTTACAAAACTCACAGAGTGAGGACTCGCACAGCACACGTCGGGTACACTTCGATTTCGTCGGCAATGGCACGGATCCCCGCACGCGTAATGAAATGTTCGAGCTCACACAACAACTACTGGAGAACCGTAAAAACTGTTGTCTACAACGTTTCTGCAATAAGCGTCTCTGTCCGCTCTTCTTTCTACATCAACTTATGGTGCGCAATGTCGAGCGTCGCTTACAGCTGATGCAGTGCAAACTCACTAATATCTATTTGCGGTACTACGATCTGCGCCAACATCCGATCACCGGTCACTTCTTTCATTTGCTGCGAAGCGACATGAGTTTCAGCACTACGCATCAACTGTTCAAGTGGCTGGACTCACAGTATCGCCGTCTTTTCAGTGTGGGTCAATGGCATGAGATAATCGAGATCAAGTATGAGTTCGAAGATCAACGCTATGTGATCCATAAGGTCAACTTGGTCATAATGCATTTGTATCTGCACAAATTGGATGTGAATTCGAAACGTAGTCTGTGTCGTCTGCTGCGAACTCCGTCAGCACCAATAAAGCGAGGTCCCATGAAACGTGGCGTTGCCGATGAGCGGAACATGCTGATCAATGACTGTATTAGTGCGCATTTCGGTGGCGGTGAGCCTTGGTGGATACTCTTTGACGTTTCGCTGGATAGAGGTCAGATTACAGGTGATATGCTGAAGTTGGCGCACAGCGCCTACATGGGTATGAAGGAGGAGCATAAGAAAGTAACGAGTACGCATAATGATTTGAGGGAGACGGGTGATCGTTTGAAAGGCGGCAACGTGCCAAATAATCTTGCGGAAGCAAAGAAATCGCCACAGATACGCTCAGCCCTTCAGCGCAAGCTATATGCTTGGACCGAACGTTTCGAGAAGAGCTTCGAGCGTATTTATAAGGCTTTGCAGCAGTATTATGATTGTAAGTACGCGGAGGGCGTAGCGCAGTTGTGTCATAACGTTTGTCAGAAGTCAAATCAAATGGATCACAAGGAACTGATGGGCGAAAACAAGCAGCCACAGTCCAGCATGCAATACTACTTCAATCGCTACAAATTGGCGCAGGTTTCGCTGGAGAATTTGCTGCGTGAACTGGAGTTTTGCGAATACAAAAACAGTTTGGTGCCCTTTCTGCGTCGAAAGGCAAAGGAACTCAACGATAATGCCGCCAAATATAAGGTCTTGAAATTGAAGTTGTGTAAGACACAACTGGGCGACGCCATTAAAGATGAAATACTGGCTGTGCGTAATAATTAAAGAAATACTAATGCTATATCAAGAAAAATAAAACGAATTTGCTAAGCTGAAGGACGACACATAAAAAAATGCAATAAATCAAATGGAACAACACATCAGAAGATTGGATATATTGTTTTAAATTAATTATAAGAAGAAATACACTTGGGGTTCCTAAAAGCCATGTTTGAAATTTAAGGACATATCAGGGGTTCGTCAATCAGTATTATGCTGTATCAAAATCTTAACTGCTTTAGTGTATTCTGAGATGCCTTCCTCCGAGGGTGCAATAGCGGTCTATGAAAATTCCCTTTGAAGTGTAAAGTTATAAGGTCACTGTCATGGAGTATTATTACCCTTTGAACGGGCTTTACGGAAAATAATAACAGATAGGATTCATTATACATGTTTAATTTGTTTTCAATGCTAAGCTCGAGTTGAGAGATGCCATTAGACCAAAAATTACCAAAAATAATAACTAACAGTACGAAGACCCCACTAGTTTAGGCCACATGATATATAGTTCTAAATAGGAAAAGAATTAAGTAGTTGATATTAAGGATTTCACAGAGTGTGAAGTACTAATGTTGTAAATTTTAGGTTAACAAAAGCCTTCTGTTTAAGAATGGACAGGAATTTAAGTAAATGGTATGGTATAACCTAATGATCGTTTAGATAAATTTTCATTAACATGCTCTAACTAAGCAACTAATCAAGCTTTATAAAGCAAGAAATGATGCATTGAATTGGCGATGAACAAAAACCTTGTATAAATTATGCATCACAATGCAATATTGTTACCGAATGATTTGGTGCAAATTAAATTCTTCTCCCATATAACAGTAGTTTATAAAACTTATGAAAAAAGCAATATCGTTTTCTTATAATAGTACTCCGACAGAAATAAACAAAGCAACAATGACTAATTCTCATATAACACCATTGTGAATATCACCAGTTTTTTTGATTTCCCATTGAAGACATCAATTATGAAATATCGAACAAAATCGCAAATGTGAATTCCATCCGAAAAGAACTGTGCCGGCTTTGTGGCCAAAAACTAAGGAGAGCAAATTTTTGATATTGATACCCTATTGTGTGTGCACCATATTGCAACGAGGGCGTTCTGCATCGACTGGAACAAATGTTAGTTAGAAGAGGTAAAGTCTGGGCTATAAGGCGGATAAGAGAAAACTTTGCAGTTGCTGTTTTCCAAGTAGTTTTTAACCGTTTTCACATATTATCTTTTGCCTTTAGCGTTGTCGTAATGGATCCATGTTTCATCACCAGTCACAATCCGAGGCAAAAACTACTGTTTTTTTAAGGTTAAAACAGCATTTCTGATATGGAAAATCGTTTTGCAACGTCACTTGGCTTCAATTCATATGGCACGTTTTGAAAAGTCTGCTTGCGTAATTACCAAAGATTCGGCGAGCTCTTCTTGTGATTGGCAACAATCTTCATCGAGTTGTGCTTCCAGTTTCTCATCTTCAAACTTTTTTGCCGCCCAGGACGTTCCTCGCCTTTCAAGTCAAAATTACCACTTTGGAGTCGTGCAAACCACTTTTGCCACGTTCGCCCAGCTAGAGCACTTTCGGCTAAGTAATAAGGGAGAAATTCTATGTTAGTGATTGAGTGAACAAAATTTATTGTTGTTTACGCTTAAAATGAATGACATATACAGAAAATTACGCACAAGGACATAAGCATTAAAAAGTGAGATATCGAAAGTTAACGAAAGTTAATTTGAAATGGACTTAGTAGAGTCATAAGTTCGTCTAATGCTGAATATTGTATTACTATCATGATAAAATTCTATAAAGGTACTCGTTATTCATTATAGTCGCTTAAATTGTTGAACACTAACCAAAATTAATAGAAATTGAGAAGAGGACAATTTATCCTCGATACTTTATCGTCTGTTAGTTTGTGACGTCTTAGTTTTAGCTAATTTCTGCGAGGCTTCAGTGATTGTGACCATTTTTGTAGAGCAGAAAATTTCTTACAAGACTGGGAGCTTTGCAATTTAAAATGATATGTTTTCATTGTGATATAAAATTTAAAAAAAAAATAGTCTTAATAGCCTTAAAATAGTCAAACTTCGGTCGGTTATATATTTAAAACGGTTAGGTTTACGAAAAAATCCTAATAAACCTTGTTTGAAGAGCATTCAACTTTCCTACAAAATCTAGAAAAGTGTTTTCAAGTAGTTGAAAGCGAGATATGCATTTTTCTACTTAATAATAAGAAAAAAAAAGGAAAACCGTTAGGCGGAGGATTCCGTTACAATTAAGAGCTCATACATAGAGAGCCTATCAACTATCAACCAATTCTTCAGAGTATGGAGCGAAAAAAACATAAACTTTTTTGACCCACCTTAATTTATCCATGTCCGTTTGTCTGTATATACGCGAACTAGGCTCTCAGTTTTTAAGATATCGCTATAAAATTTTGCACACGTCCCTTTTTCTTAAGAAACAGCATATTTGTCGGAACCGCCGATAACAGACCACTATACCATATAGCTGACATACAAATTGAACGATCAGATTCAAGTGGTTATATGAAGTCTTTTGTATTTGTGAAGGGTGTTACAGCTTCAGTGCAGCCGAAGTTAAGTTTTTTTCTTGTTTAATGCATTATTTGCGACCCTGCTAACCGCCAAGATCTGAGTTATATTACATTTGATCGTGATTCCAAACACAATTTTTATTAAAGCTTTTATAAATCTTTGATACCTCCAAGTTTTGTGGAAAAAATCAAAACCACAAAATTTCGCTGTGTCTTCATTGCTTTGGTATCATGTATGTATGTATTTATATTTATTTTTCTTTCATTTGTATTTAGTATGGGGCAAATCAATTCCATTACACCTGGCTGTAAGCGAATGAAATTAATTTGAGCACATTTTTTTTACATTTTCTGTTTTACACTGCAAATAAAATTTACGTTTAATTGAATTCTAACAGCTATTAATACAATTCTCTAATAAAATGCAGTATTATTTAATATATAATATGTTATATATGTATATGTGTGTGCAGTAAATCAGTTTTGCAAGTTAATTGTTCGCATTCATTTCTCACAGTGTATGCAGCACTTTATTAAATTTCAAACATGCAATGGCGCAATGACTAAATAGTGAGTAATTTTGTATACATAAAAACATATATTAATATACATTATGTAATCGTAATGATAATATTATTGTCAACAATTTTTCCAATACATCTTTAGCATTTGGTAGTATTTCAATATCATACAAACATATACAGTTATATATTTACTTAGTTACATAGTGTTTCTTATACATATTTTTAAAATTTTTAGTTTCTATGTATATTATTTATATTTTCTTATATAATTTCTGCTGGTTATGCAATAATCCAAACATTTTAGACCTTGTGTTTTATTTGCTGTTTTAACTGAGTTACAGAAGCAACCAACGGAACACATAACAAAGAACAGCTATAGCAAATGGAAAACATTAATTTAAGACTCTAAGAGGATTTCAATTTTTTGTTCGAGCGCTCAGGTAGTCAGTAGTGTTGTGTTAGTTTTAAAGTTTGTTGTTCATACAACGATTTTCTACAAAATTTTCTATGGTAGATATGTTTTATATATACATATGTTAGCATACACATAACTAAATATGTAGACACTAATATCTTTCTCAAAGTTTTTAAATCACCTGGACTTTATTTTGGAATTTTGGCTGCCTTTTATTGCTGATTTAATGCTGGCAGTCACAAATGGGTTGGTGTGTACTCATGTATGTGTGTATATAGAGGTAAGCGTGTTAAAATCAGCTGTTCGAAAATGTATGAGTAGTTTCCCAAAAGTTCTTTTAGTTTTGATAAAAATTAAAAAAAATATACATTATATGAAAAGTGTAAATAATTATATTTAATAAATTTTTTAAGTAAATTTTTCAAATTATTAAAAGATTATAAACATTTTAACATATTGTATGTGAAACCAAATGTAATTAGTCGCAAATAGGTATACTAAAAAGTTGTATCGTGGTTTTTGTTTATTAAGGTCTAATTAAATTATTTTGAAAAATTGAGAAACATATTTTTTTAACAACATACATATTATATATATTTCGAACGTATTTTTTATAATTAACTTTTTTAATTTCTTGAATTATGAAACATTTGAAAAATATATAAAAAATCAAAAAAATTATATATATACCTATTGTATGTTTTAAGCAAACGTTTTGTTCTAACTGGCATACATTTGTTACATACTTTTTTTTGTTATAAACTTTTTTGTTAAATATTCCGAAATATTATTTTTACCTTTCAATTTTAAAAATATCTGACTCCGCTAATTATTAAACAGGATGCATCAAAGACTCATTTTTAAAATCGTCAAACATATTTGAATATATAATCTTTAAAGCTTATCAATTAAGTAAGCAAAAATTAAAAAAATTAAATAAACTTCTTTTTTATATATGTGTTATTTTTATTAAAATATTCAAATTACTTGTAAAAATTCAATGAAAAGTTAAAAAGAAACTCGTCGCTACGAATATTATCTTCTCTAAAAGAAATTGCATATGTATATAATAATAAAATTATAAAAAAATTGTCAAACTCAAATTTACAGGTGCTGTTTTGGTTAATTTGCAAACTGATTTTATATATGATTCAAGTGAGGACTCAAAGATCTTTAAGAAAATTTGGCAGCCGCTGAAATCCTAAAAATTTCGGTAAATACTATTTTGGAGAAAAATAGTAATAGTAACACGTAAGGAAGGGTTGAGTTCGGGTGTAACCGTAAATTTCATACACTCGCAATTTGCAAATTAAGAAACCTCTCTGATTGACCAATATATTATATAAGGCATAAAGTTAAGCGGATGTTTGAAAATCCGAATATAAGCTATATGGGCCCAGGGCCAGTATTGCCCTGATTTCATTCACGTTGGGTTAGAAAATAAACTGTTATTAGAAAGAGATTCTTTCTGAATTTCAGATTCGTTCTAGTAGATCCTGTAATATACAATTTCACCTAAAGGTGGGCGCTACCATGCCCCTTTTGAGAATTTTTACACCCGAACGTATAAAACCCTTCTCTACCACCTTCGTAGCTTAATTTAATGCTTGTGGCGCGCTTATTCCGTGACGCTTTTTTAGTAGGTTCAACAAAACCGTTCGTAGGCGTGATGACCAAAACATTATTATGAATAATGAAATCGTATAATACACTTTTCTCTGCGTTATCTTTTAATTTTAAAATAATTACAAAATAAAACCATATGATGAAATTATTAACTTTATTTTACAAAAAAGTTTTTTTCATATGTGAAAATTAATTTTGCTTTTGAAAAATGGTTGCATTAAAATGTTTAAAAAAGCTTAACTTAAATTTAAATAGCTTTAACTTAAAGAAAAACATATCAAAGTTTATATATATTTTTATTTGAGATAGTTAAAAGCAAATCGCTTAATATATAAATTAGGTATATTCATATATACTGAAATATGAGTTTTAAATCTCCAGTTTTTTTATTTGTACTGCTTCCCTTCTCGAGAGTTTAACTTTAAAAGCTTTAAGCTTGGACATGCGGAGCTGGATCAAAATGTTTAGAGTAATTCCATATTATTTCGGGTATATTTGAAGCATCAATACCACATTTAATATGCATTTAATATGCTCCTAAAATCCTTCAGCTTACATTACTACTATTTCCATTAAAAAAATACTTAATTATTAGTGGCTCTGCGCTAAAAATCTCTTAAATTAAATATTAAGCATGCAATGAGCAGCACTGGACTATTTCATTGTATTAGGGATATTCACAGCATATTGAAATGTTTGCTTAAAAATTATATGTTATTTAATTCGGTTTTCCAGCATGAAAGCTTTCTCTATGGAGTCACTGAAAAAACTAATTTATTAAAAATGTACGTGAACACTATCATTATTACTTTTTATTATTCTTTTTTATTCAAAAATCACTGGTTTTATTTTTTTTTGGTGGTGGTCCCCTCCAAAAGTTCGAATAACAGTTTATGCATATTTTTCCATTTCAAACAAATTTTTATATCTTTTAGCCATCTTAAAGTACTTAAGATTATTGTATAACGGAGCTTAATTTCACAAAAGCTTTTTAATAGTTCTTTCTGCTTTGCATCATTCCTGTTTAAAAATTATATTATTCATATAGGTAATCACTACACTGAGAGCCTACATTATATAAATTCTTAAATGCCTTGTAAGAAATCGTACATGACTGCACGGTTTATGTATATATATATTATGCATATGTAGTATATATGTGTGTATTTAATGCAATGAATCCATGGTTATGACATTTACACCTGAGCTGGTTTACTTTTGCCGACTACCATTAGCGTCTTCTGTAGGAAACGTGTGAGGCTCACTGTAAAATAAAGATTTGAGGTTAATAAAAATTCTGAAATATTTCTAAAAAAAAAATAATAAAATTAATTTTAATTCGTAATAATATTTAATTTTTAAGTAGAATTGCCTTATTAAGGTTAACAAATTGTATTAATAATTGATTTTTATTTCGCGAAGACAGTACTTCTTAATTTTCCTCGTACAAATAATAAGGGTATTCACAAAACCGTTCAATTGTTTGGTAGTTATATTGACTGCTTCAAAGTTCGGAAATGATTAAATTATTAATTTCATTGAAAATAAATTTATTTAGACATTTTGAACAACAAATATCATACAATAATTTTAACCTTTTGAATTGAACTTTGTGCAGGCGAACCATTGAGAAGAGAGTAAGGAAGGCATCTGTTGCCTCATACTGTTGTAGAGGAATAATTGGGAAGAGGTTGGGTATCTTACCTAAGTTCTCATTCAAGGGGTTCTTGTCTTGTGGAGAGCACTCGGAAAAGCCACACTTATTAAGCAGATGGAACGTACTCAAACAGCGGCTCTCATTGGAAATTGTGGTATACTAGGACAATACCAACAATGGCCTCAATGCCATTCTAATCGTAGCACCTGTGGAAATAGTTGGCAGTTGCATTGCGCCGAAGGTTACTAAAAGACTTAGGAAAGTTGGGTACCAGGCATTTTGAAATCATCCGCTACTTCGATTGCATCTTTGATAACTTGAACCATTGTATTGCGGAATCTTCGCTGGGCGGTGTCCTCTTTGCGCACACTTGCGGTACGAAGGCGCTGAAGAACAGGTGTAGTGAGTTGTTTCACGATGGATTAGGATAGGGTGGGAGCCTAAAGTCGGGGGCACTTCATCAACTCTAGCTTCGGGCTGCCCGGCTACTGCAGTGTCTTTTAAACGGTGGTTGCTGCCATAAAGGTAGCAAAAGATATACTGCTCCGAAGTGCAGTTTTCTAGGCTTTCATGCGATGAGGTTGGATATCTAGTGGGACGCAAATTGCCAAAGTTGTATGGAAGAAAATACCATCTAGACACTTTCTTCTTAACTGTCCAGCTTTTGCCACTTTCGGTGAAGTTGCTGGGATTGATATTAGCCGCCATAACGAATTTTGTTTAGGCTCAACGGGCATCGTCGGTCTATGTAGATATGGAGGTCTGGTGATCCATGGTTTGGGAATCACAAAGGACCAGCGTTTCCAAATAGGGTCTTGCGTTACTTTAGGTGCTAGGATCAGCCCTACAATCTAATCTAACTTAACCCAGGCACAACACCTGCTTCAAATGTTTATGTAGATATGAGGGTCTGGTGTCCCGCGTTTTTCCAGAGTTCTCAATTTTTATTCTTTTAAAGAAGAAGAGGGAGTAGGATATTAAGGGCAAAATGATTTGTAGACGGTTTCCCTATACTGTTGTTTAGAAGCTGTTAGAAAAGTTGGTCTCACATCAAATGCGGTCTTTAAGGGTCTATGAAACCCTTGTAGTGCTAATAATGGCTTATTAGGTATATTTATCTTCGACTTCGTTCCAAATATCTAGACCAGGGTGTCGACGAGCTAAATCTTGGCGACTTTTTCTCTGCGCCCAATGGTTATGTGAAAAGGGAGAGCTCTGGAGAAGGATCGCTGTGCGATTTTCAATAGATGAAGCAAGGGTTAAGGGAAAGTTCTCTATCAGCTCTAGTTAGATACAGCCATAAATGCAAGAAGTTCATTAGCAAGAAGTTCATTGAACTCTTTCTTTTCTTACCTGGTTGTAGAAGTTTGCAAAAAAGGATTTCATGCGGTATAGACAAAAGCCTAACCGGGTATCAAATGTCGAAGGGTTTATAAAAAAGCCGATGTTGAATCATCTCAAAACTTGCTTCTGGCCTGTCGAGTTTTTGTAAGACTTAGCTTGAGGCACCTTCATATTTTGTCTTTTATATTTTGTTAACTAGGCAANACAGAAATTTATACCCATTCAAGAATAAAAATATGCACCATAATCACAGCCGAACTTCTTACACAAATAAATCAAGCAGGAGATGCTTTACCTAAATTGAGAATGGAATTAGTTCCGACAGCAAGTCTTATTATATTTATCGATTATTATTTGGTTGAAATTATTATTATAAATATAAAAAGAATGTTAGAAATTTGTTCATATACAATATGATCAAATTGGTCCACATATCATATTGGTTTTTAATGAAGCAATCGACAGAAAGCTTGGTTTGTGAATTCCCTTATTTGCTAAGTTATCACTTCACTACTTATACTCTACTATACAATGGACTATGAACAACCAAATGCAACAAATGTTTACCAAAGAGTGCTTGAATTAAACCAAATTTTTTAATGGAACCAATTAAAAAACAAAGGCAAGCAAAATTTTTACAAAAACAAATTTTAAGTTATTTTAAAAATAACTAAACTATTAGTAAAGAATGTGCATGAATTTACTCAGAAGTGAGTGCAAAAATATTGAAAAAGAAATGAATTAAATAAAAACCTTTGAAGCGGAAGCTTTTGGTCGTACAACCATCAAAACTTTTTGCAGTCCTTGTGTGAATCCACCTAAAAGAGAATAATACAACATAGCGGCATGTGTGAATGTGCGTGATATTAAAACGTAATTAATTCAATTAAATAATACCAAGGGTGTTTCGTGAACATAAATTCAATTTTGGGAGTTTTTAAAAAGCTTTTTGTGCCGTTACATAAACATTTTCGTACTACACGCTAACCCTGTCACTAACAACTTACCCATTGTTTTCTGGAACCAAATCGGTTTGTTTTTCCACGCGATGAACACCAAATAGACAGGTATGCTGCTCAAAATCATTAGGATGCCATAACCGGTTTCCACAGGGCTAGCGTACATGGGCACAACGGTGACAAAAATGGTGGCGAGTAGATAAATAACGGGAAAAACGAGCGGTACGCGTATGGGGCGTGGCAAATTGGGTTGAGCATAACGCAACCAGGGAAGACAGAGAACAGAAACGCCTATGCTCAACTATTTTAATGAGAAAATAGAAATGAGAAAGAGAGATATTCTTAGAAAAATATATACAGAGTGATTATATAGTTAATATATTATTGGTAATCTGAAAATCCTTAAACAAATGTTTATATATATTTTTTTTATAAAATAACACTCACCCAAGTGGCAAAGCCCACATAATTGATAAGCGCGAAAATATCAGAGACTGTGAGGTACAACATCGACAGCAGCGCCATTATCAGCACAGCAGGTGTGGGCGTAAATCGTTGTATCTGAATCATTGTTAAGATTTCCGGCATTTGACCTTCATTGGCGCCAGCGTAGAACAAACGAGAGGAGGTAAGCAAAATACCATTCACGGCACCGAAGGTAGACAGAGCAACGAAAACTGCAAGTATGAGAGAACAATTTTCAAACTTAGTTCACTTTCTGCCTGCTTTTCGCACTCTCTCTTTAACTCACCTGGTACCGTCCACGCAAATATGCCGAATGCGCGCTCCGCATACGTCACCGCCACAGCGGCCGAACCGAGAACCTCTTCTGGCGACAGAACGGTATAGAAGGCAACGTTGGCCATAACATAGACAATTGTGACCAGAGTACAGGATATGGCGATTGCGCGTGGCAAATTCTTTACCGGGTCCTTCAGTTCTTCAATAATAAAGTTCAAGTAATTCCTAAAGGGCAATGGAGGTAGAAGAGGGAGTAAGTAAACAGGCGAAGAGTTTATACCACCATCTGATGGCAATAATTTTATTATCTGAGTAGTAGAGCAAACAAAACCAATGACACATATCTTTGCTTCGGACAGCCTGTAAGCCACTTACTCAAATCCTCTTAGTGGATATATGCTGCTATGTGTCCAACTGATTTCCTTGCTTACCCACCCATAACCTACAAACACGGTGTCAACTTACCAACCATTGTAAGCAAACAAACCGGAATAGAAGGACAGCGCTAGCGATGTCACTTTTGTGTCCGTATTCTCGAATGTAAAATATTCCAATTTGCCCAAGTACAATTGATACACGCCGGTGGCGATGATGATGAAGAGCGCCAATAGCTTCGCATATGTGAAGATGTCCTGCACAGCGGTGGCCCATTTAACGTCCCAGCAGTTAACGAAAGTTAGCACCACTGAAAAAAGAGAAATAGAGCGTGTGTGAGAGAGTGTAAAGTGCCAGCATATAATCGAATATAAATTAAATCTATGGAGTTTTGCAGAATTCAATGAGACACCACAGCTTAAGGGTCAAATTATTGTAGATGTTTGTAACTCAATTTTCTGAAATTGCGCTGAATTGATATTAAAAGCTAGATTTGCTTTCTTGGTTTGTATATTCATACATATTCGGCATTCTACTGCATATACCACATTGTATATAAGCAGCACTCGGGTCTAATTTTATTATTTAGTAGACAGGAATAAAGTTTTTCTTCGAAATTCGAAAACTAGTAAATAAGCTTGCAAAGATGATATGGATGATTCCTGTGTAATATCACTGCAAAGGAGTGAAAAAAGAATGGACAAACAAGTGAAAAAGTTGATAAAACGGACAATAGAAGTGGCGGAATGCTGATAAGAAATATTCTCAGTGGTTTCCCAGTAACATGGAATAATTATTCGTTTGAATCCGGAACGAATTTTTCAAAGTGTTTGAAGCCAATAATTGAAAAATCCTGGTGACTGAATTCACTGTAGTAATCCCGCTTGGAACTCACATTAGAACTCAGAGATTTGACTTGGTCAATATTATAGGTTAACTTGATCTAGCCTTTCCCAAAATCATAAAATCCCTCCAGTTCTAGAGTAATCTGTAAACTAGCTACTTGAGTTCCATAAAATATGATCCTCTGTAAGAAGCCTGTTTACCATGTCAAGTAGGCCTCGCATTCACTTGATATTTTGAATGGTCGTCTATTTGATACATAGATAAAAGACAGGCTTATAGTACAAAAGTTAGTTTATAAAACGAGGGGCACTGTGCTGAAAACAAAATCTGTGGAAACTCCCTTCCTCATGAGCCTGCGTTGATTGGAAACTGTTTACTAGGGATGGGGGAATATATAATATTTTGTGAGGTAAGGAGATCTAAAACAAGCAAGAAAATTGGGCTATATATTATTATAATATTTAAAATATGCATTTCGTTGAACAACCCCTGTGCTATGACTGTCATGGAAACTTTAGCAAAATGCATGATGTAATTTAAAGAAAATTTTCATAATCCACCAACTCTTTGTGACTTCTTGAGAAAAAAAGAGGAAACTAGATTAAATTGTATGCTAGTGTGTGTGCGCATTGATTTAACAGTAAATTTATTTGATTTACAAGGAAAATCATACTCGCGCAATCAACTGGAAAACAAAAAGATTGTGTGTATGTACGTACTTACATATATACATATGGAGTGTATAAATAAATACATACATACATATGTTTGTGGAAAGAAGTTCCTACTTGACGTAATCAGTAAACGGCTTTTTGCAGCAGCTCAAATTAACAAGTGCCGTTATGTATCTGAGCGTGTAAGTTTGCGAAACACGAATATGTGATCCTAAATTTTGATAATGCTTCATTTTTTTTATAAATTAGGCTGTTCTTCCATAAATTGTTCAATAACCTTGATAGGATGGACCAGGAAAAGCTGGTCGATAGTATGGTTCAGAGAGTCTTCAGAAAACTTATTCCTTTGCAACTTGATGTCGAATATTTCGACAAAATTGAGATGGGAACATGTCCTAGCTGTTCCATATAAAATAAGTGGTTTATCTTTTTTAAAATTTCTCTCGTTTTAACAGTGTAATCTTTGTCACGAAACTTGCAAGACCCAAAAGGAAAGGTTGGCGACCCTAGAAAACATATATAAAAATGATCAACGTGACAAGCTGAGTTCCATGCCCATTTATCTGTCTGTATATACGAATATGTATCTGAAAATATCAATCGGAACTGTCGATATTGAACCGCTTTTTTACTTAGCCGCCATAAAAATTGATCGATCAAAATCATACTTGTATATATATTTTTTATACCCTTTTATGCCACAAGAAATGCAACTGTGAAGGTTTTGGCTTTTGCCGGGAACTTCGCCAACTGCGTTTCGATGTGAGTTAATCATAAAAAGAGTCTTATTATATGTATTTAGATTACCTAATTTCTCTGTCAAAACGTAATACATATTTTTATTTGGATGGAATTTAATGTTGGTACTGGTTGGTTTGAGGTTTAGTGGCCCAGATATTCGGGTAAATGATGTGAAGCAAAAATCAGTAAAAATATGAAGAGTTATTCAGGGATAGAGCTTGTGCTTTGTCAAAAAATTAGTTTACCTTCAATTGACCTGCCTAGGTTTTAAAAATTCCAACAAGAAGCTACTTTTAAAATATAATTTCCTTAAGGTAGTGTAATTATTTGCCAAAGTCGCAATAAGGTCATTGAATTCTTGTATAGAAGGCAAGTGATGATTTTGCAAACAACCTTTACGTACACCAAAACAATTTCCAAATTACTGGACCAGCAGACTTTTTCTGGGCTGTGGAAAGTATTCGTTAACACACAAGATCCCCTTTCACAGATTTCAATATCTACACATACTAAAATTATATCCCGAAATTTCGAGATCAGCAATTATTTTCGGAACTGATAGTGCCTTCAAACACTGAAATTCCCTTTTCAAATATGTCAACACATACACTTAAATCAAATCCGGAAATTACGGAATAAGCAAAATTTTCGGGATTCATAGCCCTTAGGCCCTCTTTTCAAATATCCTAAAAAAACAACATCGAATTGTGTGCTCCATCAGTTGCACAAATCGAGTGCTTACTGTATGCACGTACCCAAGTAGTGAGAAGAGCGACTAAGTAGTTACTAGGTAAGCATACTTGTTTACATATATACGATCACTACCCGTCGGCAGCGTGTACATCAATTAGCAGCTGAAAATTGCGTTTCCTCTTATGTGAAATATTCACAAGTAAATATTTGTTACTGTTATTAATATTTTTGTTAGCAAATATTAACATTGGCAGTTGTGTTGTTTTAACGTCGTTTACAAGCGCCTAATCTATAAGTCAAGAACGTTGTCTATTGCAGTCATTTGAAAGTACATTGAATTCGCTGATTTTGACTTTAATTAATGAAATTCATTTAACATACTTACTTGACGAATTTTAATCTGATATTATATGAATATGTTATATAATATATACATATGTATAAAGTATGTTTGTCCTTACATATGCAACACACGGCCAACATGCGCGCTGAATCATCTGGTGGCTGGCAATCCGGAAAGAACGGTTTCATCACATACACACTGAAAGTGAGCGCCACAATCGCCTGTGAGCAGGGACGCACAATCATACACTCGATCCACAGACGTATGAAGGCCATGAAGGGACCGAATGTCTCCATGATGTAGGCATAATCTGCACCAGACTTAGTGATCATTGTGCCCAACTCAGCATAGCAGTAAGCGCCGACCTGGCAGATGGAAATTCAAAACAAATGGATATTAGTTATAGTATAGCACAGTATATGTTGTAGAGTTATAGAAAATAACTTTAGAAACAAAATATATTTTCGGATTTTAGCCTAATAACTTAAAATGCAAAACTGCACTTGGATACTCTGTACCTTCCAGAAGCAGATTAAGCTTGAATTTTCACGAAATCTATTAACATTCCTACGTAATGAAGAAATCTTAAATATCAGTGGATAAAAGTCGCACGAAAATTATATCATATACAATGTTTCGAAAGGCATATGTATGTATATGTAACCGACATCCTGGAAACATCGATGAAAACCATAGAAAACTTGGATTATTGCGTCCGTATTCCATAATACCCTAGAGTCAAGAGAAAGTCAAAGCAATTTGCATGTACAGGAGAGTGAAATGTTTGTTATACTCTTGCAACATGTCGTTACAGAGTATAATAGTTTTGTATCACCTAAAACTAATCGAGATAGATATAGGGTTATATATATATATAAATGATCACGATGACAAGACGAGTTGAATTCAGAGCGACTGTCTGTGCAAGCTGTTACTTGAGTAAAGATTGAGATATCTTAATGAGACTTGGTTCACGTGTTCCTTTGCGAAAAAGTGAGGACGAGTTCGTAGATGGGCGTTGTCGGACCACTGTTACGCCCACAAAACGCCATTAATCGAAAATCCATAAAGTGACATAACTAAGTACTTAATAAGGATATCGAACTTTAATTTGGCACAAAAGTCATGAAAACATCTGTCAATTTGTAGGATATATTATAGAAACTCAGAGAGAATCTTTATCTGATATATATGTCCGTGTGCCAACAATTCCTTTAGTCCCCATATACCTAATTGAAACATTTTCGAACTTCCGGCTAACTTAATACCGACCGCACTTATCGGTCAATATGCGAATTATCTTAATGAAAATCCAATTTTTTTCTTATAACAATGTTACTTAAACTTGCATAAAATCGGCTTAAAACTTGCCCTAGCCCAATTACAGCCTGATTTTAAAACATCCGGTTGACTTTATCCCGCATATATTTGTGATGGTATGTGAAGTACCTTAATGAAACTCAGGATCATCTTTTTCTGTGGTAATGGTAAAAATGGATAAAAGCGGTTCAATACTATACAAGTATATACTATCCCTATCTCTCGTATATAAAATATAATATTTTCAAACTTCTGATTGAGTTTATACCGTATATATCATTATGTCGGTCAGTGTTTGAGTTATATATTTTTAAAATTAATTAATTGAAGGAATTTCCTCGAATTCGATCCTTGAAAGTAGCAATAGTATGAAATATCCGAACTTAGTCCTTCCTTACATGTTGTCATTTTCATTTGCGAATTTGATTTGTAACGATTGCCAATATATAGAATTGAGCAGATCTCGTCCCGATTTTCATACGACCTTTTGACAACCTAACTTACCCCAGATATTTATGCAAGTGAATCTGATGCAGAACTAAGGTCAGATTAGTTATCCACAAAAAATTGGCATAGTTTCCGCGACGAGAAATGTGGAAACCTTGGAACCTCACACATATTTGTATTTAAAAATATCAAAAAGAAATATGTAGATATGCAAAGATGAATGCCATCGTGAGCTTGCTATTAAAAGAGGACAGAAAAACTCGGAGGTCTTTAAAGCCTCTGGCCAACACTGAACGATTTATAACATCGAGTAAAACTAAATCCATTATTTTTACATTAAAGTGAATTTTTTATTTAGCATAGTTAAAATAATCTGATTCAGGTGAAATATGCACCATTACATACAAGTATGTTCGATAACTCGTTGACATTTTGAAGGTTATTTCATAATGGCAATCTCATAAAAACCGTCCTCGTATGAGCCAAAAACTGGGACAGTCGATTTTTATAAGCTTCTCTTGTGGCGAATTTTTCCTCAGCATTATTTTTTATTCGCCATAGACAGGAACAGGTAGTAGTGATGACGGATTAGAAGATGCATAAGAACATTCAAACCAAGCCCGCACAGCTTTAGGCGTTGTTCCTCTCCTATTGATCAAAGCTGGGAACTTCAGGGCGAATGATTAATTCAGAGGGTCCAATTGGTGATAGTACAGGTTCGAGTTAAGAGTTTGGCTATGGGGGAGCAGCTCATAGTAAATGATCCCACCAAACAAATAGCAAACCCTTCCTGACAGTTAATCCTGGCTTAGCTGCCGTTTGCGTTGGCTCACCGCGATTCAACCACCACCGTTTCTACTTGACGTTGTTGTAAGTGACCAAATTTTTATCACCCATATTTTAGAAATGGATCGATTTTGTTGCGATGCCGTAACGATTCGTAGATGGAAATGCGATTCATACGGTGTTTTGCGATAAATCTGCCGCACACATACATCGAGGTTTTTTGTATTCAATCTTATTTAAATGGTACCAAACGGTCTTTTGTGCCATCAAGAGCTATGAGCAATCAAAAAATTGCAACCTTCCGGATCGGAACACTATTCACATTTTCAGTCGCCTGTCTTCTGGCGTTTTTGCTTTTTTCGAAGAAAAAAGAGCTAGCATCCATCTTTGATGCGTGCTCTAACAAAAATAAGTCAAACAACCAGAAATTTGTTCAGAAGTACGAAATTTTTGTTTCTAATGCGTAACCCAAGCGTTCCTACACAACGCCATACATATTACTAAAGACATCTATTGCAGAAATAATGGACTTTTTTTAATACATGTAATATTTAAAAATTTTCTATCGGTGAATTTAAGAGTAGAAGAGAGAATGAAGTACATGAATCCACTATATTAGCTTAAATGGTAAAAACACCCCTCGCGACCTAATCTGCAGATATTTTATTCAATGCCTTTATGTACAGCGATCCAAGTTTGACCGAAATATTGGTCAGATAGTCTCCCTTTAAATATTTCTACATATCTCGAAAGCTTAAAAATAAACCTTTGATTAAAGTAATCAAGCTTAGAACCCCCGATTAGCCGCGTAATAGACTCTATCTTTGTTCTATTGGCAGTATTATTCTGAATTCGTTCAATAAAAATTCCGCTATCAGACACTAAGTACCTTCAAGGACGCACATGCATTTATTATGTAAGTAATTGTCTGTCAAAGTCATAATTCTTGCACTTTTATTTTTATGTCAGAATTTTCCGCTCTACTTTGAATATACGGATGTCTAATACAGTCATTTAACCTAAAGCGCTCGTTGCAAAAACACAAAAAAAAGAAACAGGCTGGGTAGATATAGCAACATAAAAGGTATATAGGTAGATATATTTGCATGTACTTTTATATAAGAACTACCTACTTTCTTATCCATTTTTATTAGTATATGCATCTAAATTGAATTATATAGATATATATCAGTGGCTGGTTATTTACTTCAATTTGCGTAGTCGTGAGCAAATGTCACGCGCATTGGTGTTAGTATTGGGAGCATATTATGAGAATAGTATATTTAAATTGTCAGGAACTGACTACGACATGCGTAGCCCTGCGAAAAATGTTAAGAATTTCATTAAGATAGTGAGAGATTGCATTTCCGCATCCTCACACCATTTTCATTTAAATTTTATATGCTTCTTATTTCATTGCTTGTTTACGGCAGTTGTTTTTAATTTCGCTTTGGAATCTATTTTTGTTATAAATATGTATGTGAGGCTTAAAAAGGGTTCCAATAGACAGAAAGAAAAGTGTCTAATTTTATGTTCTTGGAAAGTTTTCAGTTGACTCTGGAACAACATTCAGACTAAATAACTTCGTTAATTATCTTAAACCTTTTCATCATGAAAATCAGAGCATCTTAAGTTATGTTAAATAGTCCATTTACCTAATACAATACCCATTTCTGCCGGGATGACAGCACAGATGGGCGTTGAATCGATTCAGTAAGCAACGATTGCCAGATCCATTGGTCGGGAGAGGGATGTTTTGGGGGTTTCGGGCAACCCTCAACAATAGGGAGAGTAATTACACATAGCAATATATTATTAATATTCTGACAGTTTTATGACAATGTATTTATATTAGCTACATAAGTAGGAACAGCCTTTAAGCAAATTAGTGGAGTCTAAACTGTTTAACGCTGTTCTTTTGGACACAGCTGTAGATATTCTGCTCCTTTCAATAAGTAAAAGCACTAATTGTTCCCTTCCTGGCGAGATTTGTATGGGAAGGTTTTTAAGATTTTAAACTAGCTATGGTATTTGTTTTGCCACATCGATTCAAATCTTTTATCTATGAAGGTTAAGCTAAATGAGCGATGAAGCACTTCTAAGTCTCAATCGAGACAAATTTTGTTCAATTGAAGAAAAATATCCCCCACCAGCTATGAAAAATATTCGCTCAAGCTACTAAGAGTCTCTAATATTATACCTAGATCGTCTCTTACTATTTGGATAATTAGTAAAACTAAGTAAGCGCTAAATTTTAAGGTTAAGGTTAATTGATTATACTGCTTGTGAGTGTCATTTGAGTAAAATATTTGTCTGACGTAAAGACGAAATAATCGTTTTGCCCAAATCTGATGAAGACAGAAGTTCGTTAGTTGAATGAAAAGGCAGGCGCAAGAGAGCAAGACCGCAGGCGGCCGCACTTAGACCATCATTAGGCCCATTGTGCTTACGGATGGTAACCAAATACCACCACAGTAGTCCAATATTTCTTAAATTGGAATATTGGGAGAAGAAGAAAATATTCCATCTCAATCGGCTGAAAGCTGGGCATTCGCAAAGCTAATGTTTCAGCGTCTCGTCATACCCCGCACATGCTCTGCATTCCGCCGAATCAACTTTTCCAATTTACTAAAGGAGCGATCTTAAGGGTAGGTCCTCTGTGATAAAATAGTAATAATAGCGCAATTCCTACAATTACATAACATACAATTATATAACATCGTAAATATCGTATAACAAACTGAATGAATCGAAAAGTTGTCTTGGTAAACGATCAACGCGGTGCCCTTCACTCACAAAGCGTTTATATTTGAGTCAATTAGTCTTTAACGGAAAATCAGTTCAACTTACACAAGTACATAATTCAAGTTAAATAAAGATATATGGTTTATTTAAACATATATATTTCTTGGAAAGTACGGAAAGAATTTCAGATAATAAGTTGTTCCATATAAAGTCAGCTGCGGATACATATTTTCTCAATTCGAATCGAACTAATCGTTAAGCGCTTGTTATGCCAATAGTTTATACATTTATAAAAGCGATTACTCACCATTGAAAAGAGGCCGGAAATTACCCACACGATCAGCGACAAATTCACACTTCCGGTATAGCGCAGTACGCCGGTGGGCGACACGAAGATGCCGGAGCCGATGATTGAACCGACGATGACAGTACAGCCGTTAATCAAACTCATTTTCGCCTTTAAAGTCACCTCTCCGCCGCCGCCACCGCCGCCGGCCTCGCCTTCCGTCGTCACCTTTGTCGGCGCATCGCCATTACCATTGATTACCGAACTTTTCCGTGAGGAATTTTTCCGATTAAGCGATTCAGTCTCCATGTTTGTGTGTGTCTTATGTGTGTAATTATTTCGACTATTAAGTCGTTAATTGGTTTATGCTAAACAATTAGAAATTTTGCAGAGGCAGCTGTTTAGCTGTTGTTTGGTATTACTTTTTGCTGATTTATGACGTAGGTTTGCTTATGTGTATAAAATATATGCAGTTGTGTGTGTTTACGTGGAAATCTGTAAATAGGAGATTGATATTGCGTTTTAGTAAATAAATTTGAAAATTTGTTGGTTCTAGCTAAAAATATTCTCTTGTTTAGACACTTGCAACTTGTTAATTTTAAGAGAGATTACATATATACACATATACCATATATGTATACATATACTCGCATGCTTGCATGCAAGTAAAAGTTATAATGTGTGAATTTTACATACATATGCACATATAAATGTGTGAATATATTCAATTTGGCATTGAGCGTTTGAAGATCTTAATTTTCGCACCACTTCATTAACAAATTATTTATGCACAAGTAAAAACATTTAATGAAAATTCCGTACATCACTTGAAGCATTTTTTTTCGCTGAGTGTATATGAATATATATAATCTGCGTAAATTATCATCTCTCCACAAAAATGTTTGCGCGTGTGACGCGAGAAATCTACCCTACGCAAGTGGTTAGCAACGAGTTGTTGTTGTATAAAAATATATATGTGTGTCACATTGGTCAATTTGCGTCGCTACGACAATTATTTACTGCCAACGCACACACACACATACGTGTATTTAGTTTAGCAGGCGATTATCAGCAAATGAGTTTTCATTCACACACACTCTCATACGTGGGTTCGTGAGCGCTTGCGTATGAGCGACATTGACATTGACAAATTATGCTATCATGTATGTGTGTATGTGAGTATGATGTTTTAATAATTTATGTACTACATATATTTATTTAAACGGTGGATTATACTTGCGTATATATGCTAGTATGTATACAGCGTTGGCTTGATACTATATTGTGGGTGATCAATTAAAATTTTTTGTATTGTAACTTCATTAAATAATTTATGTATTGTAAATAAGTAATAATTGAGTGTGTCCGGCACGGTTTTGGCACTCACTGGACTTATGAAACGTTTACTTCGGTTGCACCGAAGCTATAATACCCTTCACATGTGGATTTCTTATAGCAACTATAAGCACATATAATTACATCTAAATATGTAAGCGGCAAACGGTTCACGTAAATAACCTGCAAATCGAATTAAGGTTTTTCATGTGGAAAGAATATCTTTTATGGAGATCTTTACCATAATTGGTCAGTTTATATATTAGCTATATGCTATAGTTTTGTATGACAGCTACCATATATGCTCCAATATCGCTGGTTCCTACAAGTAAGCAGCTTCTTGGGGAAAAAAAACCTGTGCAAAATTTCTGATCGATATCTTAAAAATTAACGGACTAGTTCGAGTATATACAGATAGACAGACGGATATAGCTAAATCGACCTGAGCTCATCGGAGTGATCATTTATAGATATGTATATACTTTATAGACTCTCTTAATATACCCTATTAGGTTGGCTTAAGTTACACTGACGAGTCAACAGCGGTCTAACTTGGATTAATTAATTTACTCTAGATTTGTCAAATATCCGACTCTTAAAATTGTTGTTGCGATCCAATTGTGCGGTTGCTTATGAAGTGTTGGTATTATTGGTTCTCTATTTTTTATTGAAAAAAAAATATTGTGTTACGTGTTGTTTGATCAACAATTTTTCGAAAATAAAACCTTCAATATGCAAATGTAAGCGCAAATTCGTGAGTTGACGATAAAAAAGTATTTTCTATACACTCGTACAATAGATGTGGCACACAAAAGTTAAATCTAAAACTATTGGTTATTTCTGCTTGAAGTATGGAGTGTGTGTGTTTAATTTATTAGTATGCATGTATGTACATTAAGGTGATACTTAAAAATTTAAATTGTCAAATTTCTGCAACCTCATCCATCAATCGGTAAAAGCCGAAGTGAGTAGTTGGAGTATTAATTTGCTTCCGACTCACTTTTTCTTGATATGTTTACTATTTTATGCAAACAGCGATGGAACGAAATGTTTACGTATTTCTCAAGCTTTTTGTATATGAAATTGAAAAAGTTTTTCATAACCCAAATTTGAAGTTAATCTTTTTTGCGTTTGAAGCTCGATATTAGATTTTTAATTAAAAACTTTTTTAACTAAGATTTTCGGAAATACAAAATAAAATAAAAATGGAATCAAATATGAATTCCCTTAATTTTTTAATCAATTATTAGTAACCCTGAGTGGAGACAGCTTATATTTATTTTTCATATGATCAGGTTTCCCAAAATTTAGGGTATACCCTAATGTATATACCATATAGTGAAGTATATTGCACGTAGTAATTTAATTTTCTGCTTAATCACCCAAATCTACGATTTTTCATGAGCTCTGTTTTTGCTATTATACATTAAACATACGTATATACATTTAATGCCGACTTCAAAAATCAACGGCCTTTCACTTTGCTTTGTGGTACGACTAGACAGCAAGTACTTGATTTTTTCATTTTGTAAACTAGAAAATGATGGAAGAGAAGAAAAAATCCGCTGACAAAAGGTCAATGCGGTCAAAATGAGAAAGTATGTATGTGTCTTACAAGTACTGTTTGAAAAGTAATCGCTTGATTGCTTTCTAATGTCGACAATCTACAAAACATTACCATGAAATTAGGTTGTCAAACAACGCCAAGTTAAAAATAGAGAATGGAAACTGTTTACTAATTATCAAAGACTGACTGACATTGCGCCAGAACTGATTTTTTGCACCCAGAAGATGTACGTGTTATGTGCTAATGTTCAAGATCGATTTCCATACTCTAAATATGAATTGCCTTACCTTGGCCATGAGGTCCGACTTAGTGAGAACAAATTGTTCAAAGTAACTAAAAGCAGTTCTATTGGCATTAAAGCTGCGCTATGAACTTCATTCTACACCATTCAGGCAGATAATATCTTTAAGGAGTACATCTTTTTTCACCTCATTAAATCGACAGAACTAGGCTTAGTAGGCAACATGGAAATTCAGATATTCTTATGCCATTTGTAGTGTGCGTTTTAATAATATCCGTTAAATGGAGTAACTTGCTAGCTGTAAGCCGTATCCGAACGAGTAATAAATTAGCAGAGAAGAATTAGGGAGCAGCTTACTGTCTGTTTGGAATTTCAAGTAGAACCTGTTTCTTATCATTGGTTGAATTATCAATCTCCCCCCTCAAACCCCCTAACGAGTACTTTTTATTTTCATGGTCAGGAAAATACTTTTCTCCACATTTTTTTTTATCCAGAACTGGATACAGATGTAATACATGTGTTAGTATGGTGAAATAGCGTCACTGGAACGTATCAAGTTCGGCCACTTTGTAAATCTGCATAATAACTTGGTGGGCAATGCGATAGCAATTTGCAAATCTCGACCATTTTTATCTTCTTTTGTTGTTGTATTTTGCTTATAGGGCGTGTGGTGTGCATTAAAATTCAATAAACAATCTATTAACAAGCAATTAATTAATGTATAATAAAAAAAAAAAAATGGTGTGAGGCATAAGCAGTTACATATTGGTATGTATATATCATATATGTACTCGTATATAATTATTTATAAATATATAATATACATACATATGTATATAGTATTTTTATATTACAATTAATAGAGTGGAGTCAGCTCACTTTTTGTTATGCTTTGACAGCTGACGCGTTGTGCTCAACCTCCTTGTCTGCTCCGCTATATTTTTGATTGTCTTATCAGTGCGCATCAACTCGTTGAAAAATTTATTTATTGTTGTTAAATTTGCTTTTGTTTTTTATGATTGAAATATTTTAAATGAGGAAGTGTTGCTTTAAAGTGATTTCGTTTGTGGAAGCGTGTTTATAGCTTATACATATATGTACACTTATAAGTATATAGAGCGTTTGTGAGCAATGATCATGTAACATATCACCGTGGAACAGTGAAATCTATTGATTCGATTTATACAGGCTTTTCCAATAAGAGTGATATGATTTTTTTCTTTCAAAAAGACACACACTAATTGTGAAGGAAATTCAAATGTGTTTTATTTAGTGTGAAGTACAACTGATAAAATTAAGTTCTGAATACAACATCATTTAAATGGCCTCCACGACTTATTTTGCAGGAATGAATTCGATGAACCCAATTTTCGAGTACTTTTTCCACTAAATCTAGTCGTATGTCATGAATAGCACGTTCAATATCGGCTTCTAAGGCTTTAAGAGAGTCTGGCTTTTTGCTAAAGACCATTGACTTCAAATAAGCCCACAAGAAGTAGTCTAATCGTGTTAAATCACAATTACTTGGATGCCATTCAATGTCACATTTTCTTGAAATTATCGATTAATGATAATTATCTGCAAACTTTTCTCGCAATAATTCGGTGTTGCACGTGCTGTGTGGCACGTTGCCCGTATTGTTGGAACCAGATGTTCTCAAGATCAAAATAAAATAATAAAATTGAATAATTTGTAAACATTGTTCTTGCGTAACATATATCTTTCTATGATGAAATTGTAAACATTACTGAAAACAATGAACAAAAAAAAAAAAAAATACAGCTCTATAATTTGCACTACATATATATTAATATAAACAAATATGAGTCATCAAAGATGAAGATCTGATAATTATTTTGGCAAGCAATTCTAAAAAACGATCTACTAAATTGTTTGAGGTTTCGTAAGTGTTAAGAATATTCTCTCATTTAATTTATATGAAAACACTCAGATTTGCTTTAGGAAAATTCTCTAAACTCTCACAGCAGAGAGAAACCGAGCGTGTACTCTGGAATGAATGAATGATAGTTATGAAAATTTTAAGAAGTTGTTAGAGGAGACCGCACATTTAATAATTTTATACGAAATTTTCCGCCATAGAAATTCTTTAGGTCGTCAAAAAGATGCTTTCCATCGAGAGTTGTTGCATTAAAATCAATAATACCCCATTTGCTACACCAAAATCTTATTTGTTCCAGACACATTTCTTTATTTTTTCACTTATTCTAAAAATACTCAAACAAAATATACATACAAAGTACATATCATGTACATTCCTTCGGAGATTATAGCGATGCCTTGAGTTATCATCTGTGAAAAATTTTGTAAAGATGCCTTGACATATAAAAGAGT